TCAGAATGTCCCCCTAGTGACTTTCTCAACCATTTTAGGATGCCATCTCATTTTTTCAAACCAAGATTTCAAGGAGGTAGGGTGTGTCTTTAATCTGCTCAAAATTTCATATCTTTTTAAACCGAAATACATCTTAGTTACTAAGTTCGATAAATTATAGTGGAATTGTATGGTATCAATATAGTAATTTATGATTTTTTTGTTATTCAATTGTATATGTATAAAACCTATGTGAAACTTTTTTAAGGCTTAGCAAGCTATGACAAGCAGCAACTGAGTACAAAGGTCGAAACTAGAAGAGATAATTGTTTGCTTTACTTCTTTACTTACTGTTCTATGTTTTAAGAAAAACAAGTTTAAGTTTATAATGTATAATAATTGAAATGTGACTGTATTTTACAAAATACTAGTTTACTAAAACACAACCAAGACAGGTCACTTTGTAGAGACTAAAGGTCAGTTTTATATTATTTGATATGGTAACATGAGTACACATGCGCCACAGCATTGTAACTTCTGTATTGTTAGCCAGGCACAGCTAAAAGGTCAATATAATAAAATGAAATATATATAAATGTATAATGTTATGAGATTTAAGCTATTTAGTCATTTAATTTATGTTTTCTTGATATAATTTGTAGTAATTATAGAACGAAAAAGGCATAACTTATATTTATTACCTAATCTTTTTATGGTTGTTACGAGATCAATCAAATTGACCAAACCTGTACAGATATTAATTAGTGAAAATAACTGATAAAATATAAAGTTTCATCTTAAAAAATCATTTGATAACTATCTAGACATTATCAGGATTTTACATGTGAAATTTCAAAACTTTCTGATACACAAAAGTATTTTTAATCATCAAATGAAAATTACTTTGTATGTTGGATAGGCAACATGTGAAAAGAAAAAAAAAGGCATGAGAAAAACATTGCTTTAGAAAAAATCAAAATTAAATATCTTATTTCTCAAAAATTACATACTTATAGGACCTTTCATCTGAAATTTAAAAGAATTTCATCCACTAGTTTCATTTTTTTAAAGAACATTCATGAGAGTTGCGTACCTACTTACAATGTAAGTAGGTCATAGTCAAAGTGACAGAATTAAATAAACAGCATCTAAACTTATAAGTTACAGGCATAATGAACAAACTTGAACAAGAATATACCATGTGTAATTGTTTTTTGGTAATTGTATTCCTACATTATTCTAAGCCTTACATTTTCTTAAAAATTGTGTTAAATCTAGCCTTGCTTTTCAAGTACATGTCACATGAATATAACAAAACTTAAGGATAACAAGAGACGTGTTAGCCCATATAGGTTGTCGCGTCCATTAAACTAAATTTAAAAATGAAACAACGAAATCAAAGCTAGTTCTTATCATTGAAATATTTATCAAGCATTCCTTTAGATTTACTGCATCTACCACATATGAAGGAAACCCAGTCCAAAAAAAAATCACCCTGTTAGAAAAATAAAATTGTAAATTGAAGGACTTTTACCCTGTCAAAATTTGTGTCTCCTTGTTTTACCATTAAAAAAATGATGCATTGATATTAACTATTTCCTTAATGACCTTAATCATATCCTCTCTGACTCCTGATTTCTTTTCAAGAGAAAAATTAATTAAAGATCAGTTGCAAATTATTTGTCCAACTTACTAAGTGATCCTCGTCACATTTGCACTTTGACATCTTTGTTACAACTATAAATACCCAAGAGTTTAGTGCCATTATTATAATTTAATTATTTCCTTATCAGTATCATTAATTAATGTAAATAAGAAAAAAAGACTTAAACATTGAAATCTGAGGCACATTATAAGTTGCGAGTTCTATTCTGACTGGATTTCAGTAATAGCATTTTTTTTTTCCTACTTAGACATCTCTACAGTCCAACTAGTTATTCCTCTACTAGAATGGCTAGTCAGTGTATAATGGCTCACTTTTTTGTGGCCGTGGTAGCCAGGGGTGGTTAAGAGGTTTTGACATCAGACCTACTTAATTTTATAATGGAATAGTTTAATACAAAACTCCACTCTGTATCATTTGATTATCAGTGAATTTCAGGCATGCAACTGTTACTTGAATATGGATTCAAATACATAGGCTCAAAAATGATTGATCAGGTTTTTCTTCATTTGCATAAAAGCCTAGTTCTTGTAGATAATGTTCACAGATTCTTTCAATAAATAGAATAACTGTTCTTTATTTTATCTTTTAAAGAAAACATTTTATGAAAGAAGCCTAAAACTACTTTCATTAAATAAATTTCTCATTTGCAAAAGTGTACATTGTAATTTGCTTTTAAAAAGACATGCAGTATTGATGGAACTTTTTCTCATATGATAAAAACCTGTAAAATTTATTAACAATTTTCAAAGTTGTTTTTATACATCCAGTGAGGCAGCATGACATAGCAAAGCTACCAGTTTAATTGTTAGACTAGTGTCCATGTATGTGAGAGATACCAAGTATGATTTTTGGACTAATCACAATGCTTGATTATAAAAAATAGCAATACTCTACAAATTTGTATTCTTTAGTTTACAAAAGCAAAAGCATCTAAAATACTATAGATTAAGTAGTCTAAAAAGTTGGTATTTTCAGAAATGTGTAATGAATTTTGGCATCTAGTAAGTACTCAGTATTCACTATTTCCTTTTGGTGGTTTGATCCACTTGGTAAAAATTTCACAAAATATAACTTCACTTAAATATTCATATCATATTTCAATCTTTTGTGACCTCCACTTTCAAAATTTTTCTTTAAGAATACACATACCTGTAACAGTCATTAGGATTTTTATATTTGAAGAAAAATAAATTTAAGAGTGAGCATGCTAAATCTCGTATTCACTGTAACAATAGTATACCATTTTCTTTCATTAAAGTGAGATTGTTGAATATATGTGAATTATTGGTAGGCCGAACAACTTTATTTTAATCAGGCATTTGCTCAAACATAGCTTTTAAAGCTTAAGAAGAATTATTGCTGAATATGGTTGTTAGGGTGGTCCTATTTTTGCAGGTAGACTTTCAGGTTAAAAATTCTAAAGCTTTTATCCCCTAATTTTATTCCAATGTATAAAAAAAAAACTTCGTTCATCTTGGAATATGTATAGAGGTTGCTCAATGAGTTTGTAGTTCTAGACTGTAATGACGTGATACTGTATGTATAGCGTGATATAAAGAAATTTATGTATCATAAATGATTTATTTAAAGTTTATTATTATTTCATTGCGTGTACAATAGTATAATTACATATTTTTGTGATTTTAGTATGGATAGTCACTTTGCGTTGTTATTGTTTCCTTTTTGCAGTTAGGAATGCATCTTTTATGATCCTCCACAGTTTGAAGGAGAAATTGTTTCTGTTCTTTGTTATGATGTTATTATACTTCTCTATAAGGACCACCCCCTTTTCAGCATTGTAATTTACCACATTCAAATGTGGTATTGTCTGTAATGCCTCCCTGTAGTCCTCTCTGAGCTACCTTGAATTGGGGTCATAGTCCAAAAATCCAGATGGAATTTCGAGACACCTGAAGAAGCCTGTTGTCTTCTTTGTGAGGAAATCTTTGGTTGTCACATCCTCAGACTCCTTGATATCCAGCTGGATGTGCTTTAGAGGTTCATCCATGCCTTCCTTCTCATTTAGTGCATTTACCATTGCTTGTTTTGTCTCTGTGGATACAGCTGAATCAAACAATGTCAAACCAAGAGTTCCTCATTGAGATACCATAGACTTCCAGCCAATTTTTGATAAGGCAGATTTGGAAAGAGCAGAGTTTCCCTTTTTCTACATAATAAGACATTGTAAGATGCTAAGATCATTGCGAGGAGCAGTGAACCATGCTCTGAGATAGACTCGAACAATAAAGATGCAAATTTCATGAGTCCTCTTTCCTCACAGCGAGTGAGCTAAAACTATCCCTCAAACAACCAGATCTTGAGTGCATATAAAGCATTGGTCACCCATCATGCATGATGCAGTGCTCCAGACACTATAAATTGCATTCTTATCATTCAAATATTTATCAAGCATTCCCTTAGATTTACTGCATCTTCCACATATGAAGGTTACCCATTCCAAAAAAAAAATTGCCCTGTTAGAAAAATAAAACTGTAAATTGAAGGACTTCTACCCTGCCAAAATTTGTATCCTCTTGATAATCATCTCAAGGTTGACTGATTTGAAGTTGTCTTGTAGCATTCTCAGTGACACTGTCTTCAACTTCATCTTTGGCTTCTGCTACTTCACCATGGTCAGCTGCAGTTTCATAACTGGAATGGTTCATGTATTCATAATATTACAGGAATCAATTGAAAATTGCAATATCTGAACCGGAGGAAAACTCCATAGCCTTTGAAAACACATGACAGGACAAGTTCAAAGATATGATGCAGGACATTCCAAAAATAAAAAGTGACAGCATGGATTATCTGTATATGAAATGTCCTTGAATATTCTGTATAATATAGTACAATACTCCATACTTATTTAGAATATTCAGAATATGTAGATATAATGTGAGCGATAAGGTAAGAGCAACCCTAAATGTTATTCAATATAGATAGAATTTGGTGTCACTTATTTATTTATATATGGGAATAAAATGAGGGAGTGTGAATGCCATATATCAAAACTTCCAAATAAGGACCACCTTAATGGTCATCATTTTCATACTTCATGATAACGAAAGCAGACTAGTAAAAAAAAGTGAACACACTGTCATTACAGTTTTCTATCTGAAATATAATTATTATATATTTTATCTAATTTTGATGAACAAGTTTAAACTCCTGTGAAAATTCTATATATATATATAATCTGTTTAGTTTGGGAATATAAATATTTCTTTATCATTTTGAAATTTGACATGATATTGTTGCGTATGCTTGTATGTGGGAAGTAAGATGTCAGGTTCATACACATGAACTTGTTTCATTAATTGTTTGTCTTTAATCATCCTCAGATAGTATGCAGAGAGAAAATGATCTGGATGAAGAAATTGTTGGAAGCAGGTAAGAAAATGTACTTACCCTTTATTTTAAATGAAAATTATTGGCTTTGATTTGATGTTGTTGAATCCAAGCAGACTAAAAATTCATTCGTTGATCAACAAGTCTTTAAAGAATATTTAATTCTGAGTTTTATATTGGACTGCTAAGAAATGTTCATTATGTAAATGTTCCTTTTTTTGTGTGTGCTTCTGTTACAAATTAAAAATAATTTTATCATTATGTAACACAAGTCTAACTTGTCCTACATTCTAATAGAGGCAGTTTGTTTTAATAACTTTTGAATGAAAGCAAATAACAATATTTAATAATATGTAATCCACATTATATCTGCCATATTCAGTGCCAGTGAGGTCCTTTGTCCAATACCAGGGATCATCATGCTGGCTGGGATATGACAAACGTAGTATTCTAGGCACTGTTTATATTATCAGTTGCATGAACAATAATTTATGGAGTGAACTGGATTAAGTGAAGTATGATTATTGTCAGTATCATTTAATTAATTTACAAATCAGTATTAGGGTAAGGATTAATATCATATTATTATTATTTTTAACACCTTATTTATTTTATTAAAATTGAGATTGTCAGCAATATTTTTCTAGAGGTGTGGTTTGCATGAAAATGGCATACTTTCTTCAGTAAGTTGGTTATTTAGTCATTCATTTATAATGATAGATATTAGAAAATTTATTTTAGAAGTCGTTCTGAAATTATTAATGAACATTTGTTTATGTAATATATGTAAAGATGAAAGTATTTTGGAAAAAAGACAATTGAATTAAAAGTCACTTGTATTACTGATGCACAAAAATTCAGTAAAATGTTTATTTTGTTTTCAATGAAAAACTTTGAACTAAGTCTGTAATTTTACATCTGGTATTTATGAATGAAATATAATGCATTTAAAAATAAATGTGTATTGTAGAGTACCAGTTCAACTATTTGTAGTTTGAACTTTTGTAACTAAATATTTTTACTGAATTTTCAGCTCTGGTGATGAAGCCATGTTTGATCAAATAGTTGGTCACATTGAAGATATTATAATGGGTGAGTTGAGATTAAATTTATGTAATGTTTCTTAGTGTAAATTCTAGAGTTTGATTGGATTTAACCAATATCATGTATGAAATTGCTATGCAGTAGGAGAAGAGACATTTCAGTTTGTAATGTTGCAAGTGCATTTTACATAAGAAGTAAAAGGACCTTTAATACATTTTTAGAACCTGAGTTTCAAGAACTTCAGAAGGATTTTTTTGACAAGTATTGTACAGTATTTGAAGATAAAGAAGAAAACAAACTTGAATATACCACTATTTTCAATCACTATGTAAGTACTCAGAATTGTTACATATGTTTTCACTATTAGTCTTCTTACATTAAACCATCATGATGGTTAGTAAATGTCATTTTCAGAAACATACACACTCCTCTCTCACACAAGGAAAAGGTTTCCTACTAACTAATGCCCTAGTCCCACTAGAGGGAAAGGTAGCCTTGACATACTGCATGGATTTTCCCTTTCTGACACTGTTATATCAGAAAAGAGCTCATCTTTGTAAGTTCTGTATCTCCACTGGCCCCTCCACTTTTTTATCAGTATGGAATTCTAACCTTTTTTTGTTTTGGTGAAAAGCAATATAAATTTCTGAAGTTAATATTTTTCTTACCTGAAAATGTAACACCCTCACATCCTTGCTTCAGATTTTTGGTGTATTTCCATAGCTTCATCAAGAATGAGCCTCTGTTCCAATGCTGGTGCCCCCCAGTGGCAAAGCGGTATGTCTGCGGACTTATAACGCTAGAAACCGGGTTTCGATACCCGTGGTGGGCAGAGCACAGATAGCCCTTGTGTAGCTTTGTGTATAATTAAAAACAACAACAACAGCAATCCAATGCTGGTGGTCCTGGAGATTACAGTAGATAGAAGATGTGTTGCCTTTCTGTTGGTGAAGGGCTAGAGTTTGATGATGATTACATCATAGGCTGGTGCTCTACATGTTAATATGTGTAAGGGTGGGAACTTTGTTCAAGGCTTGTGGCATGTGCAAAATTCTTCACAAAAGTGGTGTGAGGTAATAAGTCTTTTTTTAATGTGTAGAGAGGTGAGTGTCTGTTGAGAAAACATTTTCTCAACATTTGTAGGGCAGTGAAAGTTTAGTAATATCTTAAAACTTTGTCATAATGAGCTGTTTGCTGGATGCAGTTTTATACATTCAGGTGCATAACTTTGTGAAAGGTATATATTATATTATCTTTCCTAACATTAATTTTATGATTCTCTTACATTGCTTTTCAACTAATCTTTATTTAATAGGCTTGTAGCCACCATTCAAGATCTTTAATAACTCTGAAATATTATAAGAGAAGATGCAAGAAACTGAAATAAATGTTAAGTAATATGGCAACTATTTTTTGTTCCTTTGGTCATGGAACACAAAAGCATTGGGAACATTAATAATAGTTATAAAACATCGCATCATGTTTTATGATTTCAATACTTCAAGCGAAGTCAATATTTTTTTCAATTAGAATGAATGGTATCGTTATATTTTTTTCTTTACTGCACAGTAATGAATATAGTAGTTTTGGATTAAGTTTTCCTAATAGTTTTAATTCTTACAAGGAGTGCTAAACATTTAGAAACTTTTATTGCTTTAGGAATAATAAAATATTTGACAAATTGACTAGTAGAATGAAATAAAACTATTGAATCTTTTTGTGACATAGAAATCATAACAAGGAATGTACATGTGCTTTATAATGTAGTAGAAAAGGCTGTTGCACAATAGTTTTTTCATGTTAAATATTTGTTAATTTCTTCTTTATCTGTTTATTCAAGATATAAATGATACTGTTAACTCTTTTACTTATTTCTAGACAGAACTCATTGAAAGCTATATTGAACAAAGGTTAATTGAAAGACTACCACAATTTTCCATGGTGTCTTTCTTGGAAGAGATGAAGTAAGTAAATGAACATATTTCATCATAAACTTTGTTATTAATATAAAATCAATTTCTGATTAATTTAGTGAAAAATTATTCTAGACTACACATTAAATAATATGAATATGCATTAACACCTTTAGAGCTGAGAGATTAACTCATTTAATTGATATAATTGATTCCCTGTGAGCATGGATTAATTTATGTCACAAAGTAACCCATTAATCAAAATTAGTGTTTCCAATTATTACTATTTTGATTATTTCAACAATCTATTAATGAACCCAATGATTAATTAATTAAGGAGTTTAACTTATTGACTACCTCCAACGACTGAAATGGTCAGATCAAAAATGAGTGACTAAAGAAAGCTTGAATATTATTTCAAAACAATACAAACATTTTTGTAAGTCTGTTTTACTGGTAACCCTTCTCTCTGTGCTCAAGTAACTGTTAAAAAAAAAGGTATGTGGCTATAATAGTTATTAAATTTCAATCACTATTGTAAATACCAAAGTCATATTTAAGTGTGCCAGAGACCAACAATTTTTAAAACTGTAGTGTAGGAGATTGGGAAAAAAAAGAAATACTCTTTAGAAGTTCAAAATATTACGATTATAAAATATTTTCAATGCATTTACAACTCGTGATTTCACAAAACATGAAGGCTTTAATGTGCTTTAACTCTTTTTCAGCACGGGCAAAACGAATAGAATCAAAATTTCAAACTGTAAAATGTTACTCTGTTGTAAAATAGTCATAAAAGTAGTATTCTAAAGTTAACTAAAGGAAAGGTATAATGATGAAAGTTGAGATTCTATTCAAACACCAAGCTTTCAATAAAGAAAGTGGGGAAGCCAGTAATGTAGGGATTTTATTTTTCATTTAAAGTCGAGACAGCTTAGTCTGCTGTATGATCATTAGCCAATCAAGTAATATGTTCACTTCCACCTATTTTGTTTGGTTTCTTTTTCAAGTTCAGTAGCCAGCCCTACATAGCTTTTTTATTTAGCAACAAATCTTTTTCCATATTCTTGTTTTCTTTAATATTGGTACTTTTTTATTCTTAAAGATTGTAAAATATTTAATCTTACTGCATTGTAATGATTTCAACAGGGCTCGTTCATCTGAACTTGATGGGGAGATATTTGAAATGCTTTTAAGCTTCACAGACTTTCTAACTTTCAAGGAAATCCTGCTAGATCATAAAGCAGTAAGTTAAAAATCTTTATCATTTTGAAATTATTTTGTTTCTTTACGTTAATGCCACTAATCAGGAACACTATTTTACTTACTGTTAACTGATTTGTTTTCTAAAGTTTAATATATTTCTTAAGAAGAAAAAATGATGTGGCTGTCTAGTGTTTCTTATTTAGTCTTATTACTGGACTGTTATTCGTGTCCTTTTAATATAATACAGGTTTTTATCAATCATATATTTGCCCAGCTGGCCCATCATAGCCTGGTGGTTAGGGTTTTGGACTAACAGCTAGTAGAATGTGGAATGGAACCCTGTCATCAAACATACTTGCCCTTTCAGCTTTGGGAATGTTATAATGTGACTGTGAATCCTACTATCCATTAGTAAAGTGTAGCCTAAGAGTTGGCAGTACGTGGTGTTGAATAGCTACTTTCCTTCCTCATCTAACACTTGAAAATTAAAGATGGCTTTGACTTATTTGGGGTAAATAAAAAAGTACACATTCCATTTTCTTTTCCCAAGTGAGGAAGTGAAACGTCTTGGTAGGATTTAAGTTGTCCAAGAAGAGCTAAATTTTTTCAGAAGTTTTAAAAGAAAAAGGTTTTATAGTTGTGGGTTGATGACTTTGATTATAGGATAAGATATTAAAGTGTAACAGGTAATGTTCTGCCAATAATTACCAACTTTTATAACTTAGCTACAGGTTTGTTTACAAAGAGTATTGCTTTCTTTGTTCTTGTTCGTTTTTGGAAATATTCTACTAATGATATAGTAACTTTTGGTAGTATATATATGTATATATATTTTTTTTTAATTTAATTTTGTGGTTGTATTTTCTTATAATCTTAGGCTTGGATGTGTAAATGCTTGATAAATTTTGTTGTCTTTGTTAGTTTTTATGTTTTATATAAGATGGTTGGTCACATTAAAATGTGAAAATTGCCAAATTTCATAGCAGTAAATTATTGCCATGTTAAAATCTACTCCAGTGTTGAAGGTTTTACCAGCATGGAACTGTTATGGTATAAGGTGGTAGTCTGTATATAAAAAGAATTGGGAGCTTTAATTTGTATGAACAACTCTGTTATAATTTTGTGACAGAAATTTTTGCACCAAATTGACAGTTTTACAAGTACACATATCAATTTTCTTACTTTACTGAAATTGTTTAATTTAGTTTTTGTGTACCAAATAAAAATGCTGATACAGTTGCTCAGCTTAATGTAATTGCATGATTTGGTTTGAATTGAAGGTAGTGCTACACAAAACTAATGATGTATTCTTAAAATTAGGTATCTAAGAGCAATTATTGTTTGACTGACAAAACATTTACAGCGGTCACTATTGTTGTATGTGATTAAACATTGTTTATGCAAGTACAACTAAGACAAAGTAATGTGACAGGGGTTTTTCAATGTGAAAATATGTACTGCTCATAAAAGTAATATTACATGTAATTCAAGAATGATAACTTTGTGAATTTTACCCTTTCATGCTTAATTGTTTTGAACAACGTCTCTGCACATGAATATGTAATATTTTGTACAGTACATTCTAGAAGCTTCAAGAATGATGGAGGAGTAACTTGCAGGCTATGTTTATACAGGGTATAAGAAATAACTTAAAACTGGTCAGTTGAAAGCAATGCTGATTTATGTTAGGAGACACCAGAATGAACAAATATCTTGTAGGCTAGATTTATATATAAAAACAAGAAGAATCGTCAGATGATTTACAAACTAGATGTTTGTTACAAGACACATCAGATTTTTATGCTACATTTAAAATGGCCGTATCTAAAGTAGCCTTAGTTATATTTTCAAGATGGGTGCCATGTACTTGAAGCTTAAATTGAAATATCTTATTGCAGTTTTAATTTTTTCATGGAGTTACCATAAAATATGATATGCTGGTACAGTGTAAGTGTAAAAGAAAGCATTATATGCGTAGTCACATTATAATGAACTTTGTTGTCTGACCATATATAAATGGGAATTAATTGTTCTACCCATTACTTTTTTTTTATTTTGATTCACTTTTTATTCCATAAAAAACCAGACACCTTGAAATGTGCAATGTATGACAAGAATGTAAAATAAAGCTTTGACATATTGTAACCAACTGTTGTACATACGATAAGATAAACACCCCAAGAAGTTTTTGAGTAAGTGAAGCTTCATCATACTAAGTAAATGTTTACTCTCATTTTTGTTCATTACTTGATACTATTGATATCTCCAAGCAGTGAAATAACAAAAATAAATGAAAAGAATAATTAACTGAACAGAACATTTCTGAAACTTGTTAGTGAGTAATGACTTTCCCATAATGAAGAATAGAATGTATATGCTGTGACTTTATATCGTGTTGTTGTAATAATATTAGTTTTTTTTGTCAAGATGTTGGGTGGAAGAGTATAAAATACTGTTAAAGTTAGTGTCAGCAATTAGTCTGGCCATTATGATACAAACATAAACTTAGCCAGAGACATTCACTTGTTCTCAATTCATAGATGGTTTTAAACACATGCCCTAGACTTTATAAATACCTGAAAGTATCAAATAGAATTTATTTACTTGAACTAGTGTATAATTTGAGTGTTCCCCAAGTAAGTAATAAAATAGCATGTCTTCCTAAATTATCTATTTTTTTAATGCTAAACACAGTGATCTGTAAAGACAGTTTATTTATTACAAGACTAACATGTTATCTATTTATTTATTATTATGCGGTGTAGAAAATGGAAAAAAACCTTTTGGCATATACATATTTATTATTAACGTTGGTATTATGCTGAAGAATAGCCATGACTGTACTTACAACATAATTTTATAACAGATTCCCATTTTTTGCACTGTATTAAAGTGAACAAATTGTCTGAACCCTTCTTTCTGATTCCTTAAATATCTATCCATTCTCATTTCAACAAGTTTTATTTATTTTCCTAATAAAAAAAATCACTGTAAAACTTCTTTGTATAGACAATTTACAGACTCGCCACTGTTTGAGTTACTGCAGCCAAGAAAACAGATATCAGGCCTAAGTATATATTGGTTGCAGTGAATTCACGTGTGTGCATTGGATACAAGGGAGTAATAATGTTTTTGAGAGAAACTAGCTTATCAATTTGTATATTTTACTTCTCATTGTGCTTATAATCAGTCAAAATCCATCTTCACTACTGAATGTATGAAATGTTTTGACATTTCAGAATTTATATTAGGAAACCATAGACTGCATTAGGAAAAATATAATTGAAACTAAAATGTAAATAAGTTATACAAAAATGTTTTTATAGTATTGATAACTGTTAAATAATTTACATAGTGTATTAGCCTCCAATTGTCACATCAGCAGCAAGCTTTATCATCATTAAAAAGTGTAATGATGATGAAGTATGAACATAATAGGTCATTTTTTATAAGGATAATGTAACCTAACTTAAAGATTTTTTTTGGGGGGGGGGGAATTCCACATCAAATTGACCAGCTCATAAAAACTCATTTTTTCTGATTTAAATGAAATTATAATTGCAAAATTATACTAATGAGAACTTCATTATTCAATTATTTCAAATCCTAAGTCAAATGTTATGAAAGATATGGGTAAAAAAATTGATTTTTTGAGCATTAGGTTGTATTCAGTTCTTATTCAAATCTTTATAAGATTGTTTCTAACAAAGCTATAGATTTTTAAGCCTTATATGTTTGTGTTACTTTTGTTAGTTTAAGAATTAAAACAAAATGTGACCTCTTAGTTGGACTTTAACCTCATCCTGATCCCTAATAAAAAGGATTGTGAAAATATATGTCTAAAAACTGTCTAATTACTGAAACTTGAATGCAGTGAAGTTATAATTTTTCTAGATGAAAATGTATTTCCGATAGATATTTCCCTCTTCTCACAACATTAACTTTTCCCCTTTTTGTACTGCCCTCTATATGCAAACTTTTTCAAAATGCATGCCACAAGTCTTTCACATCCCTTTGTTGGAATCTAATGTTCTAACATGTCTCTCATGCAAATCATCATGCATCAACTCTCCACCAATAGGAGTGCACTACTATCATGTGACACATGTGACTCCCTCTAATGCGCCACTACCGAACTATCACTTCGAAGTTTGGCAGAAGACACAAGCAGCAGAAGATTGTGGGAAGGAAGTGTGAGAAGAGGGAAGTACCTATCAGAAATAAATTTTTGTATAAGAAAATTATAACTTCCGATACGTTACCTTCCCTCCTCTCACAAGATTAGCTTGAATTCCACATTGAAAAGGAGGATGGACCGGTGCGAGGGAAGAACAGGCATATCCCCTGAAAGCGTCAGAAGAACACCCCTGGGAATGAGAGAAACAGATCAGATGATCTGAGGAGGGGTACTGCATCACTTCTGAACCAGGTATCTTTTCGCCATGAACAGGTGGGATTAAACATGGCGGAATCTGAAAGGAGTACATCCAGGTGATGGAGGAATATGATCCCAATCAGAGAAACAGATATACTTAATCCCACATAATGAAAGTTGGTAATGGAGGATGTGTCCCATGGTGTAGAGTGGCTAGGGCGTGTTGTACCATACTTGTAAGTCGACTACATTCAAAACCTCACTCGCTGTGTACTGACATCCACGCGAGGGTAGGATGAGGATCATATTGTATTCACCTCAATCCCTAGACTTGTGAATGTACATATAATATCGACTCCAGGAAACATCACAGGATGAGCGTTGAGTTAGGGACTCGGGAATGTGTCATCAGGTATCCGAGGGAAGTCCATAGCATGCAATCAACCCCCATGATTGTGAAACCAGTCAAAAAGTTCCACAGGTCTGTAACATCCTTGCCATTCTGAGAATGAGAGAATGCCCAAGACAGATGCAGAAATAGGCCACGTAGACCTCTGCAACCCACAACACAGAATACAGAGTCGGGGGGAAATGGATGACCCAAAACCTGAGTAAGGACTTACGTGATTGGTTCACTCAATCTCCAAAATCTCACTCACTGAGAA